CATTTCTGGTTTATCTATTATTCTTTTTTTTTGTTTTTAAAAAACGTAATTTCTCTGTTGCATCACTTTCTTCCTCATCCTCATCCTCACATCGCACTTCCTATCCTTCTGGTGTCCTTGTAATTTCCTCTATCGCAAATTTTGAGACACCTTCTTTTTCGGCTGTCCCCTTCCCCTTATCATCTCTCTGATCAATATTTTTATATTTTAAATTAAACTTGTAAAACTAAAAACTATTTTATTATTAACATAAAAAAATATAATAAGTTTATAATATCTATGATATATTTCATTTTTTATTTATTTAAAAATTATAATATATTACTTATAATTATAAACATTAAAAACATATTAAAGATGATATCAAAATTTAAATTTATGGTAAATTAAAATACAATATTTTTTAAAAAAATTATAATAATTTTTTATTTTATAAAAATTATACATTCTCAATTAAAATAAATTAAATAAATACGTGGAAATATGTGTAAGTGAACAAAATACAAAAATATGTGTCATTTAACACTAATTTTAACTTATATAATTTACAATAATATTACATTAATTTATGAATATTAAGATAAATTATGGAATAATATCCAAAATGCATATAAATTTTTTTAAATAAGAAATAATGAGTACAAAATAATTTATTGTTAACCTAAAAAAATATATATTGAAATTTCTTTTAAAATAAGAAAAACTATTTTTTATTTGTGGTGTAGCTTAAGTGTTACAATGTATAGAAACTATTTTTTTGATTAAGTTTCACTTAAAAAATCACGAATCTTAATAAAAAATATTTCTTCTTATTTTTAAACAAATTTCAATTTATATTTTTTGATTTACGATATTATGATTTGATACTCAGTATTTATTATTAGAAACTATTTGATTATATTTTTAGATTAAATTATGCTCATTATTTATTATAAAAAAAATGTTATAAGAAAAAGTGAAAGGATACTATTTTATTTTTAGTGAAAGGATACTATTTAATTTTTATTTATGTGAGAAAGATATTATGATTTAATAAAATAAAAATACCAGGGACACATAGGACTTTTCATACAAAGTGGGTTTATGGGTTCTCTTTTATAAATGTATAAATTACTTCTTGTCACTTTTACGCACCAGTTATATCAGAAAACCTAGTGATTTCGGCTGCACCTTCGTCTCAAAGGTTACTATTGTTCTTCTATCAATTCATCTTTCTCACAACGGAAATTCTCGTTATTTTGTTAATTTGTTAATTTTTATTATTGTTCAGGAAGTGAAGAAGAACGTCTTTGAAATCAACTAGCAATTATGTCTGGGTATGCCCTAATTTCCTTTAATCCTTATCTTACCTGTTTTATCCCGATATAAGGGTTTTCATGATTCAATGTTTTTGAGATTCTAACTGGTAACGGTGAATCAAGTTAGTTTCAGTCCAATGATAGCGGCTTATTGAAATAGTTGGATCTGATAAACATTTTTGAGTATCTGTGATTTGATCTTTATGCGTTAGATTTTGAGTTTCGTTGATTATTTGCTGAGTATTTATTTACTTTTTTTTAATGTGGGGAGATTCTTTGATAATTTGCTTACGGTTGAGAAACTTTTGCTGCTTCAGTGAAGAAGCAGTTGTTGCAGCCGAGCCCGTTGTTGCTGCACCTGGAATTCCAGGGGAGCCAATGGACATCATGACTGCTGTTCAGCTTGTCTTGAGAAAGTCGCGTGCTTATGGTGGTCTTGCACGAGGTCTTCATGAGAGTGCTAAAGTGATTGAGAAGCACACTGCACAGCTTTGTGTTCTAGCTGAAGATTGTGACCAACCTGATTATGTTAAGTTGGTCAAGGCTCTTTGTGCTGAGCACAATGTTAGTTTGTTGACCGTTCCAAATGCAAAGACCCTTGGAGAATGGGCTGGTGTAAGTGCTCCTGCTTTGCTGTAAATTAGAAATCTTTTTCATAAATTTTCAAAATTGGATTTTGTTATGGTTTTTGTTTATGCTTTTGGTGTTGTATCAATTTATTTTGTATTTTTGTGTCTTCTTGCCTTCTTGCAGTTGTGCAAGATTGATTCAGAAGGAAAAGCTAGGAAGGTAACTGGTTGCTCCTGCGTGGTCGTCAAGGTATGACTTACATTTGAGATGGAAATGTTTGTAGTCTGTTATCATCATCCCATGCATGTATGCTTAACTATTTGCATTTTGTGCAGGATTTCGGTGAGGAACATGAGGCATATAATGTTGTTTTGCAACATGTGAAATCTAACTGAGTTGCAGTTTTCCTAGATTTGTTGTTCTCAATATGAAGTTTTTGTATAAGTTTTAAGATTTTTGTTTTTATGGATTATCTTTTTTGAGACTGAACTTGTGTGTGTTGTGACCCATTCTCCATTGATACTCTTGAGGCTTGAGACTTACTATCAGCTTGATGCAAACTTGCAGAAATAGAATTTTGATGTTTTTCATTGATTAATACCATAGTTATTTATGCAACCACTTTTGTTTTTTGAGAAAGGCAGTACAAACGTTATTTAATTATTGTCACTTGTTGAACTTTTTCATCCAGAGTAATTCTAACCCTTAACTTTTTTTTTTTAGTATATTGATTATATTATTAGAAACTAATTAAAAGGTTGATATGTAGACTCGATTGCCTCTACTGAATTTTTCACATGAGAGGATCCTAGTCAGTTGAACACTGTAATATGTTCCATTTATTTTTCATTGAAGTTTAGAAAAGGATGAGATGAAATATTAAAATAGGAGATGATTGTGGTTTCTTCTAGCATTCATTCACATAAATGATATAGCTTTTACCTCCTTAGCTGAAAATGAACTGAATTATATAATGTTACTAAGTTGTGATGAATGTTTCAAATGTGTGGAGAAGTGAAGTCTAACTGATGAACATATTTTAATGTTTTTATGATTATTGTTGTATATCTTATTTTTAATGATCTTGTAATAATAGCATGATGATTTCTTTTATCAATACCTTCCTTTCATAAGTTCAAAAACCTATAATTGACCACCATTATGTTGATGGTAAACACGAGGAGAATTTCCCTAATCAATTAGTCTTTTCTCCTTATTTTCTTCTCTTTGGTTTTCCTCCAATTAGAGTTTCTCAAAACCATCCCAAAAAATAACAACTTAATGAAGCGACACCTTTCTTGTCAAAATTGTAGTGATTTCTTCCTTATTACTAAGAGAGAAATAGAAGAAGAGTGGAAAGACAACATATGTTGACTTTGGACAGTTAGTTACACCTTTAAACTGCTGACTCATTTAGTTTTAAGTCCTTATTAGGACTGTTACTAGTCTATACTCTATTATATTTCCTTCAAGTGTATGGTCTTCTATTGAGAAAGAGTATATCGGTTGATGGCAAGAATTTGCAGTACTTCTAGACTTTTATTGACCAGTTTCTCCCTCAAAAAAGATGTCCAATTTTATGTGTTTTGTTTAGACATAAACGACATGATTATGAGAGAGCAACAATGTTCAAGTTGTAACCAAAAAAAAAAGGAATGATAGAGTACTTGGAATTCTACCCGGAGAAACAGGATCCACAAGTCTTTTGAGGTTGTGTTAGCAAGACTTATATACTTCACCTTTGTGTTATTGTTTCATGGACCATCAGAATACAAGATTAGGTTTTAGGTATATGCATGACCCAGAAGTGGATTTTTTATCATCTCTACACCTCAATCAGCATCTAAAAATACTTTGAGAGAAAAGGGAATGAGAGTAAAGGCTAGTTATGTAAAAGTCTATGATGCAAAGGGCCTTTTAGGTATCTAAGGATCCTTTTCACTACGACCCAATGCCTTTCTAGAGTTTGAGACAAGAACTAACAAGCTTTGTTGATTGCAAAATTGATCTCAGGTCTTGTAAGTGTGGCATACTGCACTACTCCTACTATGGACATGTAGTCTGCCTTGAGAGTTTCAAATTTGAGATCATAGGTGTAAGTAGTCCTTTTGCTCTAGATCATAGGTGTAAGTAGTCCTTTTGCTCTAGACAAATTTGCTTTTGTGAGTAAATCTCTTAGATACTTGGCTTGAGAAAGGAGAAGTGATCCATCTGTTTGGTGAGTAACCTCCATACATAAGAAATATTCCAGGTTTCCCAAATGTTTGAGACGAAATTGATCATTGAGTGTGTCTACTAGGGACTTGATATGAGACATTGAATTGCATGTCACAATTCTGTCATCAACATACATAAGCATATCAATGCTATATGTTGGTGTGATTAGTTTGAATAAGGAAGGAACACACTTGCTAGAAATAAAGCCAAGACCTTTAAGAGCACTATCGAGCCTTTCAAACTAGGTCTTTGGTGCTTGTTTCAAGCCATAAATGTCTATGCTTGTGCTCAATTAAGCCATTGGTGATGTGTTTGAGGACAAGCAAACCTGTGAGCTATGCATCTTGTGCTAAGCAAAGTGGTGAGAGCTTGTTTCTCACCACCACAATCGGTTTGTATTGCTTTTACCTTAGTACTAAATTGTACTTCAATAGCAGGGCATTTGATTTTAACTTGATAGGATAAACCCAGGTATATTTAGTGCAAGCATCCACACAAGTGAGTAAGTATTTATAGCTTGAAGTGAAAGCATAGGAACTGGCCCCCCTACATCAGCATATAACAAGTCAAAAGGGGAATGCCAAACTAAATGAGATAAAGAACTAGAAGTCTCTGAATTTTTTTCTAGGCAACAAGAACTACACAATTCAAGGCTAGTTTTATGAGGCGAACAAATACTAAATTCTGAGAAATACCTTTCCTTCCAACATCAAAGACAACAGCAGAAAAATTATGGCACTTGATTTACATTTCAGAACCACTAGAGTTAAAACAAAAATGTAAAATAAATATGGTATAAGATATTGTTTACAATACATTTGAAGTTGTAATAAATGTTCAAACCTGAGAAAATTTTCATATAGCTGGTAGTGTTAACTATTGATTAAACAATAAGTATAAAGATCCTGTAAGGCTTTAAGATAATGTAATGAAATGCTGCAGAGAACTAATCAAACTTGGAGGCCAGTGCTTCGTGTCTCTAACATATGAAAGATCCGTAAAGTGAGGATCAAGAAGAGTTGCAATTGTAAACTGGTTTTCAGCAAGCAATGCCGCATGCTTGTCCGAGTATAACGCTGCTGCAAGAGCTGCATGTACTTCTGCTCCAAGAAAAAAAAAATAGCATCAGAGAAAAGCGGGAATTTTCCTTTTTAAGCGCGATTCTATAATGAAAAAACGCGAACATGTTCATACCTGGATACCCCTTTAGGGATATTGAAACGTCTTCCATCTCTGCAATTGCTTCTTCTCTGTCACCAACTTCATATAGGGCCAGTGCTCTTCCTACTCTTGCATACTCTGAGAATGCCAAGTCTTTGTAGCTTTCAATCACCTGAAAAAACAAGTAGCATGAATACAGTAAAAATTTGACAGATTATTAAACCATAGAATATGAGCATGAACTTATTGACACCTGAGAAAAGTATTGAAGAGCCCCGTTGAAGTCGCCGAGAGCTTGCAATTCCCTACCTTTCTCCAACAACTCAACGCCTCTAGAAACTCTCTGTGAGATTAAAGCACTGGCATCTCTTTCAGAAAGAGTTACTGGATCATATTCTGTGGCAATTACACTGTTATCTTCAGAAAATGCAGGGAAAGGGAGGAAAATGAGACTTGAGAGGGGAAGAGAGAAAAGGAACAAGCGTCTATTTGGAAATTGAGACATGGAAAGGGATGGTGGAGGTGATGATTTAGTGTGCTGAAAGTTCTGTAATTTGTTAGTTTTGGGATTTGGCAATGGAAGATGGGAAATGGGTGGTGCTGCTCTGCAGCATGCACCTACCATAATTGTCAATTGTGACCAAATATTGTAAGAATGCTTTTTCTTTTAATAGATAGATTTGTCACATGAGATATTTTTGTTATCTACCATTCTACCTCATAAAATATCCAATGCTTAAAATTGCATTTTGCATGGTAAGTCACATTTTTATATAATATCAGTTTGAATTAGATTACCTTTTTTATTTTGATTTAAGTTTAAAAAGTATTTTATTATATTTTTTCTTCTATTACAATTTTATGTTTATTAATTATTGAGATGATTAAGCTCTTACCAATCACACTTTCTAAATAATACGTATTAGAGTTAATAACAACAATAAAGTTTTATCGATCGGTTATATGAATTAACTTTCAATATAATATTTTTATCAAAGACTATGTTTCTATCCAATTCATTAATCTCGAAAATTTTCTTAATAACTCCTCTTATAGTCTTTATAGATTTTCCTCTTCCTCTAATTGTTTGTCTTCTTCCCATTTGATCTACTCTCCTCACTACAGAACTTACCGATCTTCTCTGTATATGTCAAACTCACCTAAGTCTATTTTCTACCATCTCTCCATTATAGGCTACCACTACACTAATATTCATTTCTAATTCTATCCCGTTGAGTCTTACCACACATCTAGTATAGTATTCTCATATCTGTTATAGTTATTTTATTCTCGTGTTGATTTTTAACCGCCTAACATTATGTCCAGTGCAAAATCGCAGGTCTTACCACAATTCGATAAAACTTTTCCTTCAACTTGAGTCGTACTTTTGCATCACATAAAACACCTAATGCTCTTCCCCATTTCAACCATCCAACTTGGAATCGATGATTTACATCCCGTTTTATTTCTCCATCATTTTGTATTATAAACTCCAAATATTTAAAGTGTTTTACTTGAGAAATAATATGATCTCTAACTTTCACCTCTAGGTTAAAAACTCTTCTTTTTTTGTTGAACTTACATTTCATATTCTCCTTATTACTTTTACTTAGATGAAAACCTTGCGTTTCTAAAACTCATCTCCAAGATTTCAACCTCTCCTTCGACTATCCAAGAAGAACTATATCATCGGCCAAAAAACATGCATCTCGGTGTTAGGTCTTGGATGTGTTCCGTAAATACATCTAAAATTAAGATAAAAAGGTAGGGGCTTATGGTTGAACATTGATGCAAACCAATTGTAATAGAAAAATCGTTTGTCTCTCCATCTTGTGTCCGTACACTAGTCAATACTCCTTTATACATGTCTTGAATAGTTCAAATATATGCAATCTTAATCTCTTTCTTCTCTAATGCTTTCCACAAAATTTATCATATGCACTCCATCACACGCAGTAATAGATCGATCGCTTCCATGGTTGACCATACAGACATAAAATTAAATTGATTCTCGGAGACTTAGTCTCTTTTCTTAATCTTCGTTGAATAACTATTTCTCAACTTCATGTTATGACTCATAAGCTTAATTGCCCTATAATTTACACAATTTTGTATATTCCCCTTGTTCTTATAGATTGAGACTAAAGTACTTCTTCTCTATTCCCTTAACATGAACTTTGATCTCATAATTTTATTAAAAAATTTAGTGAAACACTCGATATCTTTATCTCTAAAAAAAATTCACACTTCAATAGGAAGTTTTATTCCAATTCACGAGTACTTATATAAATAAAAATCTTGCTAACGAGTACATAAGAGACCCTCTTAGATTCCAAATAAAAAAAATATTTTATAGAAAGTTAACAATTTCAATTTCCAAAACATTAAATACGCATATTTAATCTTTTTTATCTTTTACTATTTTAAAATCTTAAAAAATGTCATTGAGATACTCGTTAACATTTCCAAATAAATAAATACACAATAAAATTAGCTAATCCAAGCAGGGCCCTAGATAGATAGATAGTTAACCTGCTTTTGATAAATTTCAACACATCAAGATGGTAACAGACAAATGTCCTCATATCAAGCTTATCAAATAAGTTCAAATCTTATTATTTTATTATCTTCAGTGATTGCTTTTATTATGTTGCTCAATCTCCACAACATCAACAGTTGGAGCACATCTTTGCTCAGCCATTATTATATACAATTTGACTTGATTTGAATCATCTGCTGTGATTTAAAAAACAAAATAATTGCATAACTTCAAATGAAATTAATGTGACTAAAAGAAAAACAAAAGTCTCAGCAAATTGGGGACAACCTTCATCACTATATTGCATCTACATATACAAGACAAAACAGGAACCTACAAATTTAAAATGACTTTCACTTGTGCTAAAATAAACAGCAAATTATGTTAGAAATCCGTGAAAATGGATTCATCGCCCCTTTTCTGTGAGACCGTGTTTACTAATTGCAGCTTCTGAATGGAACAGCTTCTAAAAATCAGCAACAGCCACTTGTGGATGCATCAGACTTGGGTAGGTTGTCTTTAAAAATGTTCTTTTTTAGCCCCTTAGATCCCTGGGCTAAGAGGCTAGGTGTATCAAGAATCTGCATACAACCAATGAAAAGAAATCCCTGAGTCACCATCATATATTGTTCATCACAAATTACAGAAAGGAATTCAACCCGTATCTCAATTCATTTATCGTCTGCCATTGAACTTGTTTAAAAAAAACACTCCTTTCCAATATTGCAGTGTCATTTTCTCAATTAAACATTTCCACCACCTAATATGCATGTTTGCATGCACACAGCTAAACTATGCAGCACACAGCTAATCTATGCTGCACACACTTATTGACCAAAGTTAGATTGGTAAATAAATGGGCACATATATCACTTAACATACCTTCAAAACAAGCTCTTCAAAGCATTGCTGCACGTTTACTCGAGTTTTAGCACTGCATTCGATAAATAAGCAACCATATTCCCTAGCAAAGTCTATTCCTTCTTTCTTTGTCACGACTCTATCCTCCTCCTGAAAATAGACACACATACATATATAACCAACACATGTCAAGTCCTCCAATTTAATGCAAGAGAAAAAATATCAGCAATGAAGAAACAAATGTGATATGCAGCTGTCTAGACGCACTCAAGAGTCTAGAGTTGTAAAACTGAGAGTCCAAAATGGAGTCCAGGCAACTCATGATTTGTATACTGCATAAAGTTATGCAAATAAGCCTTCCTCATTGTCTTCTTTTAGTTTGTTTTAATATGCTTTTCTCAAATGATATCCATTTTTTTCTTTTTAAAAATCTATCATTTATGGGAGGATAAGCAATCATGCTAGAAGCACCATATGCAAAAAAGCACAAGTACATTAAATCGAACAACAGGAGGAAACCCCTACCAAGACGTGCTGATACACCCAAATGGAAAACAAAAACTTCATTCCATATCAGATGGCCAAGATGAAACTTCTAACAAAAGTTTGGGTGTTGTGTTTTATCCAAAAACACCATAAACAAAGAGAAGTGTCAAAAATTGTCTCATCCTCCTTTTGCAGAACTTTCTAAAATGAAAAGACAAAAAAACTGGTTGGATAAACTGCTATTTACCGCAATCTCTGATTAACTTAAAAACATTTTAAACTATTTACCCAGCCAAAATTTTCTAAGATTGAATGCCATGGTTAATACAAATAAATATTAAGAGACAGCATGTGATAGTAAACTTCCTTAAACAATACCTTATCTACTTTGTTTCCAACAAGCATCTTCATGCAGTCTTGATTTGTCGAATAAAGTTCTATTTCCTTTGCCCATACTTCAGATAGATCTGTAAATGTTTCTCGCCGGGTTACGTCATAAACTGCATCAGTTTTGGGAGCAAAATATCAGGTAATAAGCTAATCCAAAACCTAATTTTCAACACTGGTCAACTTAAAGAAAAGGACACCTCTTAACTCCAAAGATCATTCAACAGAATGAATCTAATAGAGATATTGCAGTCATTTTAGAAGAGAATATTATCACTAACAAAGAAAATACAGTTTGGTCATTGAACCCCACAGAACAATTAAATGAAAGACAAATTCACTAACAATTAAAAAACAAGGTGTTTCCAGGATCTACTTGCTGATATTCAGTGTTCCACACATAATTTCACCAAGCAAGATAAATGATATCAACTCTCACAAGACCCAAATCAATAGAAACTAAACTTGACATGAATAGATATAGAAATAAAAATAAAAGTGGTATTCTAATGATCAAAATCATCATCAGGTCACCAAACATTCCCGGCAGAGGTCAGAAAAACGACAAAAAGATTTCCAATGTGAACTAACTTGCAGGTAAGTAGATAACAACATGTTTTAACTTTCCAAGGCAGCAAAAAAGCTTAAACTATGGAAAAACTTTGGCCTTAACCCTACTAGCAAAACAAGTAATACAAGACAAATCACATAATAGATATCATTAGTAGTGCCACCTTAACAAGAACATATCAACTCTATCACTATTCAAACAAAATTCAAGGCATTTAACACAACGGAATAATAAATGTTCAATTGGAAAAATATAGTCTGAAAAAAGAAAGTTACCCATAATGATTCCTTGCGCCCCTCTGTAGTAAGAGCTAGTGAGTGTTCTAAATCTCTCCTGACCAGCTGCATTATTCAGTAATAACAAAGACTTAAAATTTCAATCAAATATTTGAAAAAAAGGCGTGTCAGTGTCCGTGTCCATGTCCACATAGACAAGTGTATTTACTTTCAATTTTTTTTTAATTATTAACAGTGTCGTGTGCGGTCAATTAAAAAAGTTTCCACGATAGTCAAGTAATTAGGTCTTAACCTAATAGACAAGTAATTAAATAAAGGCATATATAAATACACTATAAGTTTATACCAGTATCCCAAATTGCAAGCTTGAGTTTTTTACCCTCCACGGTGAGATATTTGACCTTAAAATCAACACCTGAAACAGGAGAGATAAATCAAAGTGTGCATAAAAGTAAAAGAATGAATTTCGAAGAAGAAAAACGGACCAATGGTGGGGGAGAGATCGTCAAAATCATCGGAGGTGAATCTGAGAAGAAGACTACTTTTGCCAACACCAGAATCCCCAATCATCAATAGTTTGAACAAATAATCGAATTCTTGGTGCCCCGAACTCGAATCCATCGCAACCAATCAAGAATGAAAATGAATGAATCTCAGGCAGGTCGGTGATGCAGTATGTATATATCACTTTATGTTTCGAGAAAATATTAACGTGCATTTGCTTAACCATCAAGCATCACTCCAATTATTGTATTTACTTTTTCTGATAAAATATAGTTATTTTTATTAGTGTGTAAATTGAAAAATATATCCCAGTCGACATCCACTTATTTAAAAATTTCGGTCGTATTAGACTAAAATATTGAAAAATATAAAAACATGATATGAGAATAACCAATCAATTTAATAATAAACTAACTACGTATATCTAATGTTTTTAATGTATATCTTTATCCAAAAAGATGATATCATGATGGTGTGATTTAATTAAATGTGTGCACTTTTTTTTTGGTGTAGTCTAGTGCATGAATATTTAAGGTTTAATATCTCAAGTATATTGAATATGAGTGTTTAAAATTGAACTGATTTAATAGAAAATTGTTAATCGAATCAAATTAAATTAGAAATTTTAAAAAAATATTTATTTGGTTCGGACGTATTTGAGTCATTTCTAACAAAATTTACGGTTCGATTCAATTTGCAATTTGCAATTTATAAATTGAATCACATCAAATTAAATCACATTATGTTACCAAATCTTATTGACGGGGTTGGTTAAAAATATACATGTTGAAAAAATCTCACATCGCTTAGTTTTGTTAATGAAGAGAGAATCTAAGACTATATATAAGATACAAATTTTTTAAAGTCTCACATCACTTAGTTTTGGAAAAGAAGAGTGAGTCCAAGACTATATAAAATTTAAGTTCTTCATTGTAAGATGCACTAGTCAAAAGCAATTTAAACTTGTATTTGACTTTCTTTGTTCTCTTATACTCTTGTATTAAAGTGATGTGAGATATAATTAAATATTTGTTTTGAAGGGTGTTGGTGTACTAGGGACTTAGTTAGTTGATGGTATAATATGTGTTGTAATAATTTTCGCATCGTGTTATTCTCTGATTGTCTATTGACAACGATTGTGATTTTTTCTCTAATTTTATAGTTTCCACGTTATGTTATTGTTTTGTGATTGTGTTCCTATTTTTTCTCTATGCTTTGTTTTTTTCAACAATTGGTATCAGAACTTTTTTTCGATCTGAGGATTAGTGTTCTTAGTATGCTCTATGGTTGCAGTTTTGTCTGATCTTCCACGTCATAAAAGAAGTGCAGTGTTGTGAAAGAGAATTGTAGTCACAAAATCTGTTGTGCGGTTTGGGCTAGAGAATTTATGGAAGAATTATTTTTGACTTGTGGAAAGTTCAAGTCAAAGATGTGTTGATACAATCAAGATTACATAAGGTGCAAAATTATGTTGGTGGATGAAGAGTTTCCTGCCAACAAGGAAGTTGCACCATAAGTTTTCAACTTAGTTTTTGACATGTGAAATTCTTGAAGTGGTTTACCTTTAATTGAAATTTATTCTTCATGATAAAGCATATGATTATCGGTGATGACAGTATGAAATTCTTAAAGTTGTTTATCTTCAAGTGAAATATATTCTTCATGAGAGACTATGATAGTTTTAAAACTATGATCGTAGGTGAAGACAATGTGAAATTTTTTGAAGTGGTATAACTTCAAGTGGCTATACTTTTTATGATTGAGTATGATTGTCGATGAAAATAACGAAAGTTGATGTATTATTTTCAATCAAGGTGGAAATTGTTGAGATTAGTTGAAAATATACATGTTGATACTCTTTATGTTGGAGTATGATTGTCAGTGAAGACATTGAAACTTATGTATTATTTTCAATGAAGGTGGAAATTGTTGGGGTTGGTTGAAAATATACATGTTGTAGAAGTCTCGTGCCACTTAGGCTACGTTTGGATTGATGGAAAATAACATAATGGAGTGGAGCGGAACAGAATGGAATATAGATTCCACTCTATTGTTTGATTATTTCATTAAAAATATCTCATTCCATCACATACACCCCAAATTGGATAGAACAAAAAATGGGGATTTGGATGAAATATGATGGAATGGATTCCACCATGTTCCATTCCATTCCATCAATTATTTGCATATCCAAACAATGGAATCACATTAGTTACCATTCCAATTCATCTCATACCACCAATCCAAACATACCCTTAGTATTGTGAATGAAGAGAGAGTCTAATGTTATATATAGAATACAAGTTCTTTGAAGTTTTACATCATTTAATATTGTGAAGGAAGAGAGAGCCCAAGACTATATATAGGATTCAAATTCTTCATTATAAGATGCACCAGTCACAAACACTTTAACATTGTATTTGTCTTTCTTTGTTATATTATACTAACAATTTTTACATAGTATTATTCTCTAGTTGTCAATTGACAACCTAAGTGATTTTTTCTCCGATTTTAGAATTTACATGTTATGTTCTTGTGTTATGATTGTGTTCCTCTTTTTTCTCTATAGAATCATCCAAATTATTGTATTTATTTTTTTTGAAAAAGTATAGTCATTTTTATTAATACATAAATTTAATAAATAAATCAAGTAACATATATAAACAACTTTAAAGAAAAACTCACATTTAAAAAAAATGTTTGAATTCATATAAATCTTACTCTCTTTCTAATTTTACCTCCTACTTTTTACTTTAAAATCATTAAAAACATGAAAATATGAAGAGAAAAAAAGTAAAAATACATTTAAAATATTAATATTAAATGTAATAATTATAGATTTTTTTATAGTTAGGATCATTGAAATTTTTGTTATTATTTATATTTGATATCTAATATTTTAATGTATATCTTTAAAAGATAATATCGTGTCATGATGATGTGATTTAATTAAACATATACTTTTTTTTTTGATGATATGATATATATATATATATATATATATATATATATATATATATATATATATATATATATATATATATATATATATATATATATATATATATATATATATTGGATATCGTCTAGTATATGAATATTGAATATTTAATATGTCACCCTTAACTTATAAAATATGCACTGACAATCTAAAGATTTTTTATAATGTTAACCAATTACCATCATATATCCTGGCAAGTCACACTGTAAATTTTAAGTTACTGATATGACATGACATGACACGGTAATGAATTTCTATTGTATGACAGTGTAAAATTATTTTAAATTATCAGTGCATACCAATTAAACTCTAACTTATATCTATATATGATTCACATATTTTATTAATTTCAAAACTACCTTTAAATAAAATTGGTTTATAAACTTTGAACAAAATTTCTGAAACTTTCAGGTGGTGCAAATATCCGGTAATTTCAAATTTCCTATAGTGCAACTTTACCATACGAAATATTCTGGTAATGCAATAGTCATATTTAAAAGTTCATAACTATTTGAAATTTCAAAATTTTTGATATACTGCAGTTATTTTTGACAATTTCAAAATGTTTAAATTATTTTTAAAAATTTGAACTACTGGCATTTTCAAATTTTCCAAATATAAGTATATAATTTTTTTCAAAAATTTCGAAATTGTCGATAGAAGTTCAGACACACGCACGCACAAACACACACACACACACACACACACACACACACACACACACACACACACACACACACACACACACACACACACACACACACACACACACACATATATATATATATATATATATATATATATATATATATATATATATATATATATATATATATATATATATATATATAGAGAGAGAGAGAGAGAGAGAGAGAGAGAGATAATTTTTTACTAAAATAACTCACTTTTTCAAAAATATTCTTAAAATACCCCACATTTCATAATAGTTCTCAAACTATCCTAGTTTGGAGTACTGATTGAATGTAGGCGTCAGACCAATTGGTGACCCTTTGTTAAGGCATGAGTGGAGTCTCCAATTGGATTAGAGACACCTCATGAAGTCTCAAATTCAATTGGCGACTTGGTGTAATATTTAAAGCCCTATCACCAATTCATCTGGAGACATGGTGCATTTTATAATTTTTTTTACCAAAAATAAATAACATTATCATTAATTAAAAATACTATTACATAAATTAATGTTGGCGACCGAGTTGGTCATACCGGCCACCGGTTCCACATCTCCTAGACACTTTCACCCGTTGCACTTGTTCCCTTAATTGTTGATTCACGCTAGGTGTTTGAGGAATTGAAGTCTCAGAAACATTCCCAGATGGTTCTCTAAGAATTTCTTGCAATTCCATGAGGTTTTGTATGTTGAAACTAAGTGTGCGACCCTTGCCAAAGTAGTTCGGATGTGATGAAGGGGTCATTGGTGTGCGGCCTGGATGATTCAATGGGGACATTGGTGTGAAAGATTCGTTGGTGAAAGGTTGAAATGGTAGTGGTGTTTGAAAGTCGTAAGGTTGTTGAGATATTTGAGTGTGTAGGTTAGGGTATGATGTCAGAGCGTTTTGGTTATGGAAAGATGTTTGAGTGTTATGGATATGGTATGATTTACCCTCATTTTGGTTATATCTTGATATTGTCTTGGGGGCATAGCCATATTGGGTTTCTTGATAGTAATCATTTTGTTGGAGATGGTATGAAGCGCTCTTGGTATTATGATTGAGTGTTTGGCATGTTTGGATGGTTAATGGGTAGGTAATTTTGTTAGGTAGGGGTTGTGAGTAACATGGCCTGCTTGGTGGGTTAGACGTTGAAACTTCTTGTGTGTAAGTGGTTTGGCGTGGATCGTATAGATACCTCTCTTTGGAGACAAACTCAGTTGCAACCGATTTGTACCAAGCCATATAATTATTAGTTGGTATAGACGGGGTTGCCACCACCTGGTCAAATAAGACATAGGCGTTACGGTTTATCCATTTACAACGCTCAGATTTTGAAAAATCCTTCCAGTCGAGAAAGTCCCATTGATCATTAACTCTTTTTAGATGTCATTTATCGAGGTCAACATGAGGATCTAGGATGTTTTGAGGCATTCCAAATTGTAGTT